GGGGGGGGGGTATGAAATGATTCCCTCTGTTGCAGAAGGATGCTTCCACTGCTAAAAGGAATTAAACCACAAATTAGGAGTTAGCTTCTTGCACGAGGAACTGATAATGGTCTGAGTACTTATGGCTCAGGCTTTCTGAAGACATAGTTTAATATCTAAATAGCCTACTTACATGATTATAGCAACATGTTGGAACTTGAAACTATGCATCCAATATAAAACTCATCTTATTCATAACAACATACGGCTAACTTTGGTGAGGAGGCTACATCACAGCTTTCGCTTCCACTACATAATTGGTAAATTATACCAATAGACATTAAAATAGTTGCAGTCGAATTGTTTATATTCATAAATTATGATCATTTTTGCAGAATCAGCTTCAGTTATGTTCTTCCAAAATGTGTAGAACAAGACTAAAAACACAAATAAAAATGTGTGCCAAACACAGGCGCGCCGAGGTGCGAGCACACACACACACACACACACACACCATTTTCAACAGATGAAAAGCCTGCCAAATAAAAGAGTAATCCATCACTTGTGCCATTTTGCATTTCCAGGGTCCTTCTCTACAACAATGGCGTGACTGACAGGGAAAGATAAGGGCCCCTCTGGTGACCAAAACAGTGACCACACAAAGAAAAAGAAAAAAAACCTGAAATGGGATGACGTTTTGTGGAAATAAGCATTTAGTATCCAAGATTATAAGAACTACAAAAATCATAAAGATTTGTGATTTTAAAGGCGCTTCTAATTGCTATCTTATATTCAAAATCAAAACACAGACTACACTTAATAGTAAAGACTGGTCCTCTGTATTTAGGAGCTCTCAGATTATAAGCGTGGCGTTATAATTGTGCAGCAGTAGAACACACAGTGTTTTTGAACACACTTAATAAATAACGAACTAACTGACCGAAGAGTTTACTAGCGTTTTACAGGAAATCTCAGCGATGTTCTCTTTCATTAACCGTTCATAGTCGGGAGTAACAAATTGACTTCCAGCAACTGACGAGGGAGCTAGCCCAAAAATAATGAAGGAAATTAAAAATTAAACATGAAACTTCTTATTATAGCATCAGTGCCTCATAAATGTATAGAGATGAAATGAGTGGATTAATTGGAGTGCTAATGGGGGAAGAAAGCCAGTCCTTTCCTCCCATTCAACTTCATTGACTCTTTGAAGATTTACACCTTCTATTACTTATCGCTGGGATTTCTGGTGCATGGCAGATCAGCCACACTGGGTCCGGGTGTCATCGCTCTCTATTGTAATAAAAGAGGAATCTGAGGCGAAGGGAGCACACTAAGAATGAC